GGAGCCTAGACGCCAAAATCTAAATATGCTGTACTGCTTAATAAACATTCCAAACGTGAGTTGGCTGACTGAACTGTAATGTTTACAACTTTGTGGACTGCTGTTAGTCTGCTGACTTTTTGACTGGGGTGGCACAGAATTCCAGTAGCATATGGAAGTGTTTATCATTTTGTGTAACATGTAACAATGTGCACAGAAAGGAAGCAGGCAGCGTTTCAGGGCACTTCTGCCTAATGTATGTTCCTGGTCTTACTATAAAGTAAGAATAAAGTTCTTAGTAGGCACCATAACAATAATATTTTGTGTTTGTGGATATTATGTTTTCAGGTGAAAACAGAATGTGTGAGGTTTACTTCTCCTCCTCTTCTCTCAGAGTTCCTTCGCAATTTGAACACACTGCCCAGCTCAAAGAAAGGAGGCTCTGTTAGTTAGAAACAAATCAGATCTGTGAATGCGACCTAATGACGATAGAAATATTGAAACAAAGAAGCAATATGCTTTACTTGTGTGACAAGGTAACCACTTTAACTAGTAAACATTAATGTCCATGTGAATGTTGGTTGGTCGTTGTGTACATGTCTATCTCTACAGTTGAAATGTCATCCATTTCACATCCTTATAGCAATGTGAGGTGTATATGTTTGTCCTAAAGTATTTCTGTATTTTTTTTCTCTCTCTCTTTAGAATGAAACTGTTGAAGACCCGAACGTCCTCTTCAAAGAACACCTCGTTAGTAATTTGAGTCTACTACTACTACTACTACTCTTGTTACTTAGTTAGTTTATTACTGAGGTCGTAGTGTGTGCTGCTGGTGGACTGAATGTGTACCGAAAGTGTATTGTACTGAAATGTGTTCCTAATATTGTTTCTGCCCCAACAAGTTCATATTTTGTATTTTGTAAATCTTAACTTGTTAACACAATGTAAACAAAAACTGAACATTTTCTAAGATTAGTAAAAGTAAAAAATGATGGCAGGTTATTGGATTGGATTGCATTAGATTGCACAAGTGTTCCTAATAAAGTGCTTGGAGAGTGTATAATTAATAATATAAAATTAATCTTTTATAATATATAATTATCCAGCACTCTTATGTGTACACACTTTTATACACATAGCACTGTTTGAAGTATCATGCTATTTTCAATTAATTATTATGTAAGAGAAATATGAAAAAAAAATACTTTTTGGAATTTGAAATCTGTTTGTTAATTCATAGTTTGGTTTTGTTCTTTCTTTCTCTTCTATGTAGATGATTCAGATTTAGATGGACCTTCAAGAAGTTATCCAACAGCATCAGTGTTGAGGGAGATGATGCCCCCACTCCTTCAGTCAATGTTGGAATTGTGATCGAGGGGGTTGAAGTTCTGTGTAACAACTTGGGAGACATCACCTTTGCATGTGTACTCTTAATGGGTGTAATATATGCACTGAACCTGTTCTCCTCAGGAACTAAAAGCCTTCTTTCAAGTACTTCAGAAGCTTCTTCCTTCAAGTAGATTCTCACAGACTCTCAACCAAGGTACATATGCTCAACTGTTAACAACTGATGGATATTTTGTGCACTTTTAACACCAAGCAGCACCAAAAAAAACAAATGCAAAGAAGTTGGACTGTCGGACTGTCTTCCATATACCCAGAACTTCAAAAACAAACAATACTTTTTTTGTGCCCCCCCCAGAAAAATTGGAAAACTTCAAACCTGTTGTATTGTTAGACTATAATAGAGCAACAATTAGATTAGTGGAATCAATTAGTTGCCAACTATTACATTAACATACAGCTATTTTGTGATGTCTAAAATCTAAATTCTCTGATTTAAGCTTATGTGAATATTTTCCTCTATGACAGTATTCTGAATATCTTTGGGACCAAACAAGACATTTGAGAATGTCACCTTGGGCATTGGGAAATGGCAGTGAACATTTTTCACAATTTTCTTACAATTTGTCGGCCAAACAACTAATTGATTCGAGAAAATTATCAACAGATTAATCAGTAAAGAAAATTGTCAGTTACAGCTATAGACCATAATTCTGACAAATAAACTGATGTTTTGTTGGATTTTATGCTGCATTAAGGCATCTTATAACTGTTAGTGTTGGACCATACTGCATCATAATGTTGGTTTAATTTGGTTTGGTTTAATTAATTGAACTTAAATTTATTTTTTTAGTACTAAAAATAAAATATATGTTGAAAGGACAAAGGTAAAATATGTAGTCTGTAAGTAATTTTGTTTTGGTTCAACTCACAATGATTGTGTTACTATAATACTATTTCATTAAGTTAGATGACCATAACATTTTAACTCTTAACTAACCTAATACAATTTTGTGGAACCGGTTGACAAAATAAATGTAATTAAAGTCAGTGTTTCATTTTTTGAGTGTAGTTTTATAAGATACTGAAAGATAAGAGGTAAAGATAATGGGGTGGCACTTGGGATGGCCAATCATATTTCAGGGGTGGCCCCACATCTGGACATGCTAGCTCCTGTAACTTATGCCAAGTACCCCGCCGATATGGTATTTCCTGTCCTGCCTGTTTTTTGCCACATCATGCGAGTACATTTAGGCTTGTGATATCCCGCCTGACTTCACAAAGGATGCAATTATTTGGTGCTTAACAATAAAGGTGTTAGCAGCACTGCTAACAGAGACAGCTCATGCACAATATAAGAAAGGAGCTACAATGAACATTTTTACTTTTCATAACTGAGAAGATAGTGTAGAAAGTGTACAACAGATTTGCTGAAAATGTGCCACAGGAACCCTGTTATCAGTAGACTTTGGCATTGGGTCTACAGTTGTGAAAATACACAAAGTAAACAGCTGTTTAAACATAATACCACGGAAACCATACTGTTGGTCATGAAATGGGGATCTGTAATTGTCACCCTCCAACGCAAACTGAGTTGCAGTAGTTAATTCGTCACATATGTAATAAAACAAAGCGGTCATTTTTAAGTTGTCATTTAAAGCTGATATGTTTCATTTTAGCGCTAAATGGACCCTTCAAAAAGGATTGCTACTGCACAAAGTCACGCAGACAGTTAACACCCAGGTCTGGCACGCATAGGCTACAATTACTATTTAAATAAGTAAACAGAACATCAGGTAAATGGCAGTAGTGTTGCAGTGCACATGAGGGTAGATTTATCTGCAAGCTGGACAGTTAGGCCCAATGTTCTTTAAAGGACAACTTTTGATATTGTGATAGTTGACGTACATAGACTCACAAGAGCTGTATCTAATAGTTGGCAAACTGTGGTATGTGCAGGCACTTGTTCTCCATTTCTTACTATGAACAGGTAGACATATTTGCCAAATTGAAATAAAGTTTTGTAAAACTCAGGAGTTACACAGTATATTTATGCAATGAAATGCTAGTTTTATGTTGACACAGACGATATTTAAGATGTCTAATTGTGTTCGATCATGTGATGAGCTGGTAAACACAACAAAGCTGTTTAAACTTTAGACAGACGGCCTGTTGCCATTCTGAGATTGTTTTAGAGTTTACAAAGACACTTCCGCACTTTAGCATGATGATTATAGCTGTAACATTGCCTAAGTACTATAAAACAGGATTAAAGCCCTATTTGTGCAGGACTACTATTGCCAGGGGAGCTCATATAATTCCAAATGTAATTTGTGAAGAGTGTCCTTGACAGGAATTAAAACTGACAGTTAAGACAGTTGGATTCTTATCTGGCCAAGATATAATCTTTGTTATTATTGTGACATTTGGAGGTGTGGGTAGGTGGATTTTGTTACCTTTGGACAGAGCCAGGCTAGTTTTTAAGCGGGAGTAGCCCATAAAAACAAAAGAGTAGTATAGAGCTTCTCCTGGCGAGTATGTAAGCAATCAAAAACTGTACCTGCCCATTCTAAGGAACATTTGAACCAACAAGTTTTCTTGTTGATTACCTGTCTTTTCTCTTTTGGGATGATTTGGTAACCCAATAAAAAAAGGCACACAACACGGTCAAATTCCATTTAGATTACACAAATGGCATCATAGAACATCCCAGTTTGTGACAGTCTATAAAGTCAGTGTGGAAGACGAAAGGGAGCTCATATGGCTGGACACTTGTTGTTATCCATGGACAGTACTTTTTAAACAATGCAGGCCTATTGTGCAACCAGGTGAACCTGAGAACATGTTTTTTTTCACAACTGGTTTGCACCAAACATCTTCCATGGAGGATAGACAGTAATGTGTTATGTCAACACATCTATGGCTCAACATCAACAGGCATGTGTCTCCTCCCTTTTGCTTAATTACTGTGGTGAAGACCCTACATCCTACACCCCCTGTTTATTTCTCTCTCTCTCTCTCTCTCTCTCTCTCTTCTCTCACACACACAAACACACACACACACACTCTTATGGAAAATACCAAAAAGACCGCATGACCCCATGCCATAAATTTTCTGATTGTGGTGGTGGAAGGATAAGCTGGTTTTAATTTGTTTAAAATCCAAACCAGGATTTCTTTTTTTTTCTTTGTCACTGTCATAGTTCCCCTATGTAAGTATGTTGCTCTGTGTGTGTGTGTGGTGTGTGTGTTGTGTGGGTGGTGAGAGAGAGAGAGAGTGTTGTAATGGCTGCACCAGGTGAACACTTGAAAAAACTCCACAAGACAAAGTGTGTAAAGTTGACATAAAAGTATATGACACACAGGTTCCCTCCCTCTCTTCCAAAGTATTTAGTATCTCTCTACCGCTCTCTCCACTCTCGCTCTCTCTCTCTCTTCAGCTCCCTCCTCTCTGACCCCCCCTATCTTTCTCTGGGGGACAAAAAAAAAAAAACAATTTTACAAGCTTATTCCCGGTGGACAGTACTTGAGGTCACTGATGGTGTGGAAGTTACAGTTTATTGGTATCGCGTTCGTTGTTTGAATAAGCACATTCATGCCAGAAGCGAAAGCGTCGTCGGATAAGAAGGAATTAGGGAATCCAGGAAGGAAAGGGTCGCGGAAGTCATGGGGATCAAGACACCGGCTCAGGTGCGATCGGGCTGAAACGGTAAGAAACATAAAATCATCTGACTACTCCCTTCAAACTAAACCCGTCCTTTAGCACGAATCATATCGGCGTGTGTTTTTGGCTCAAAATTAACGTGACGCACAGATTACGCAAATTAATGGTTTTAACTTATTATTCTATATTGAGGTCGATTTAAAAATATATTGGGCAAGGTGACTGATTAATTACCGCTCATGACAAAAACAATAAAACTGTAACTAGGACCGTATCCTGTTCGATGCTGAAGGGACTGTCTGAGAAGGGCAAGGGTAGATATATTCCGCGTAGAATTGAAAAGTAGCTACAAAGAGAGGCACAAGCTATTGTTGGGCACTAGTCGCAATTAAAACACCTATGTTTTCCAGTTCATAAAAACTATGGGGATGATTCCCCGGTGTCATCAGGTGTGCATCGTACGCACTGCAGGCGAGGGATCTCAAAGTTGTGTTATCGACACAAGACTGGAGACTCCAATCAGTTTGTCTTCTTTTTTTTTTGTCGCCTTTATTGAGGTGTAGGTGTGTGTGGTTAGTAAGCTGAAAACAAAACGCGTTAGTAGTGTTCGGTCAGGTAATGCTGCCGCAGGTGGCGGCCCATCATTACTATTTCTGAACCGCCCATCCCTTTTAGCTTCAACACGCAACAAGAAACAGAAACCGAGTCATATTAAAATTTGAGTATGGAAAGCATACGAAAAAAAACATTTTACCTGGTTTGTAACGTATAGACCTAAGACTGTATGCCACACCCAAACAGAGATGGGAGGTCTGGGTGTGGCCTAAACCTCCAGTCTCGCTAGTGTATCCTCAATGGGTTTGGGTATCGATTATTAAACAGCGCCGTCGCCTGCGTAAAGGCGCATGAGGCGCTGCGCTTGGTACCAAATGCGAAGAGAGCGCCACCAAAACAGCCCAACGATCATTCATTCTAACAGTCAGGATATTATCCGACTCAGTTCCGGAGCTCCCAGTGTTACCACAGTTTGCTGCCAATTTATGGTCGCGCTTCTCTGTCTCTCCCTCGGCACGACTCAGCTCCAACACACACACACACACACACACACACACACACACACCACACACACCAAAGTACAGAGTAGAAAAGAAGCGATATTTCTACCTGCTTTGTTGGCAACCACAGCGCGCTTGTTAATCTATAATGAATATAGTTATATCTGTATAGTCTGTATTTATTTTAGTGATGTCTGGTGAGTTTCATGTCAGGATGTATTTTACAGGAGATTGTAGATTTGTTTACAAGTGAGATGTCACTGAGTTTACATACTTTGCTGTTTTAAACTTTACTGCTGGTACCTAGAAGCAATATTTTAGTTTATGTTTATGAATCAGTTCTAATCCGTTTCAGGACCTTTTCTTGCTCTCTGGCTCTATAATGCTGAAAAACGTTAACGTGTTAACGTTTTAATACTGTAATCATAATATTGATGTGAAATGGCATAGTTTTTAGTCAAATAACATCAACATTTTTGGGGAAAGGACCTTTAACCCCCTCGTTAAGACCTCCAGTATATTCCCATTTAAAATATCAGTTTACTTGGCACCGTAACTGCCATTAGAAATACCCTTCAGGGCGCCTGGTTGGCTCAGTCGGTAAAGCTGGCGACACAGAGTTGCTGCAGCGGCCAGGGTCAAATCCGACCTCCGGCATCCCTCTCTCTCTGCCCCCTTCCTGTTCTATTCTTGGCTGTCACTATCCAATAAAGGCCCAAAAAATAACTTAAAAAAAGAGAAAAGAAATGGCCTTCAGGGAAACAAATAGAGTTTTTGCTTTTATACTTTGAGTACTTTTGAGATTACTTTTACTTGAGTAAAGACGTCGAAGGAAAGTCTTGTTTTACACAGGTATCTGTGCTTCTGTTTGAGTATTGAGTTGTACCCCACCAAGCAATGAATTGTTCTGCAACCTCGAACATCAACTGGTATCCCCCCGTCTCTCCCCGAGACAAGGATCGATCCACTGTCCGCACACAACAAAGAAACAAGCTGCAGAAACCGTCAGGCTTCTAATGATCGATATCATTTGAATTTATCTTGATGACTTTATCCAAACGGTGCCTTTTATAGTATACGGTAGTCACACTGTATAAGTCTCCGCACAAACGACAAATAAATACTAATAAAGATATTCTTAAATATATATCCAGTTTCATTAAGGATGTCTGGTTAACTCTGCCGTTATTTGATTAAAGAACTTTATTTAGGAATGTTCCCGAGTTGAGCACAATTATAGATAATATAATAATTGAAACAGATTTTATTTTATTTTTTTAAAGGACAAAGTGACAGGTTAGGCCAACAATGCAGGACCTCCTTTAATTGATATTGCACTTAAGTAATGCAGAACCACACCACGTGTGAATGCCTCTGCTTAAGTACTACCTTGTGTATTGTGTTGTGTTTTCTTAATCACTCTGTCCCCAAAAATGACACAGAAATAAATAAATAAATGAGTCCTATGTATTAAAAAAAGAAACAAATTGATTGGTAATAATAAATGAAATCGTATTTGGCTGCATTTTTTGTATTTATTTTTCTGGGCCTATTATTTTATTTCAATTTTTATTTTTTATTTCAGTATTTCTCCTTTACCATAATGTGCGGGGCTGACCTGCAGCTATGTCCTGGTCTTTCCTGCTTCACATGTGCTGTCCAGTAGTAAAAAGTTGGGTCAATATTTTCTTAAAGTCAGTCACTCTGCTGTAGCCTACTGGAACACACTGATATTAAACAGACTGGAAAACCTGGTTCCTGCTGACGGTGATTATGGGAATACATTTTTGGATAAAATAGTCTGTTTATGTTAGGCTACTGTGGAACTTCCATGGTACTGTTAATATCTCACTGGAGTTCATGATACAGCCATTGTTTCACACCATTGCCCCTTAAAAACAGCAAACTGAATTTTGCAAACTATGTGGGCGTCTGTCAGATTTATTTCAGTTCCATGGAAAGGCCCTTTAACGCCATCTCCCGCACAACCACCCGCCCGCTGCACCCCCACCTGCCATACCGCACTCATTGCGGCATACATCCAACGCACCCTTCCTCGTGTGGCGGCCTATTTAAGGCGGAACTCTCACTGACAATGCAGCCAAACCTTGTGTAAACACCTTTAGTTTCAAACAGCGTCAGTCTCATGGCCGTACAGGGAGGCCCCGCGGAGGGTGCTGTCCGTCCGCCCGCTTATGCCACTGGCCGTGTTATGACACTCACCCGTGTTATGACACTCACCCGTAGGCGCTTGCTCCTGTCAGCTCTCGGACGCGCACTGGTCAGAGTCCTGTTGTCCATACTGTCCGCGTCTCCTCTGGCATCACGCCGACTCGTGGGGTCCTTCTCGGCCGAGGTGCAGGGGATCACTGCTTCACATAAGTAAGGCTGGAGGCCGCTGGTTGTTTTCTCAGTTCACGGTTTGCTGCAGGTGTGCAGACACGATTTGTCCCGGTTTGAGTGTCTGTTTGTGGCCGTGTTCAGATGTGCTGGCTGTTGTAATCCTTGTCTGGTCTTTTAATGCGGATCCCTTCTTCTTGTAGCATTTTATGTGGTGGTTTGGGCATTTTGATCAAAATACAAACTACTCTGTAAACAGGAGAAACCATCACAATAAACGTGATGTGTGTTATATATTTTTATTAAATGTCCTTGTGTGAGTACATCTTTAGGACTACAACTAACAATTATCTACATTTTTCATTAATTGTCAAATTATCTTCTTAATTAATGAATTGCTGTAGAGAACATCCCAGTTTCCCTGAGTTCAGGGTGACATCTTGAAATTGTGTTGCTTACCAACAGTTCCAAACCCAAAGAATTCAATACTGTAATGTTGGGACAAAGAAAATCAGCAAACTTGAGAACTGTAACCATCAGATTTTTGGTAATTTTTGCTTGAAAAACAACATTAACCAATTTTCAAAATGGATGCTGGTTTATCTTCTGTTGACTGACAAACCTGGTAATGATTAGTTGATTTAATATGTTGGTCAGTCCACAGAAAAAGCAGGGCTGTCAAACAATTAAAAGGCCTGGTTATGATGCAGGTTTAGTTTAGTAGCCAAACTTTATAAACTTTGCATCTGTAGCCTATAATGCAGGAAAAACCCCAAAAGTGAAATAAACATTATTTATATTATATCAATATATCAATATATTTACTCCTCATTTCATACATGCATAACATTAACAACATTGACATTCATATAAAATGGCTGAAATATAAATGTTGATCTTAAGTAAAAGATAAAAGTAAACAAAAAAAATCTTTTACCTGTAGATATTGTGGATTTAATTTATCTGTTTTTAAACCCATTTTAAAGTCTGTTTGGTTTTGTCTGATTCGCTGCAATATGTGAATTCAGCTAACATTTCTTTCAAGAATCAGCAGCCCAGTTATTCCACAGTTCACAAAACACAAGGTCAAGAAGCATGGCATTGTATATGATTATTATATTATCTGCACTGTCTTGTTAGGGTGTTAAGTCTCTTGTTTCACTTTCCTCAGCAGTAAGCAGAAAGCTGGGTTTGTATTTGTCTTGGGTCTGCAGGTGACAGTTTTCTGTTTGCGTCTCTACTTACAGCAGATGTCTTAATTTTCAACCATGATTACTTACTGCTTTACTTGTTTTTGATTCCACATGTTAATTGCTACTGGAAATATGAATGAATATGGCTCAAACTAATACATTAACCTTAAAAAAGCATACAGGCTTTTTCAGAATAACATAACCCTTTTCTTTAAAAAGAGTATAGAATAAGGCAGAGAGAGGTTAAATCCTCGTATCTGAAAGAAACAAACATGTCCTTCTTAGCACACCTGTGATTCAAAGATGCCATTTTTTTTTGTCAGCTGTCACTTGAGAGCTAATCTTTAAAGCGACTATCAATCCTCGCTTTTTGTTTGACAAATGTGTCTTCATATCCACTTTTAGGGAACAAACTGTCAGGTGAAAGACCAGTACATGCTGATGTTCTGAAAGTTGGTTATTGTAGTGTAACCTGCTTATTTGGGCCACTCTAAGCATAGTCAACAGTTGGCGCAACAGCAGTGTTTGTGTCCATTGACCGTATATATAATGGAGGCAGTTAAGGTCATTTAAGACCCCTAACGCTTGATGGCCACAATTGTGTCAAAAATCATAACTCGGTCAAATCTGAACACACTGTCCTGCACATATTTTCTTTCCAATAACTCCATACATTTGTGATAATTTTTATTTTATTTTTTTAAATTATGCTCTTTATAAATCTAGAACTTGTGTCAGAGAGCAAGTTTTCTTCAGTATCAAAGCAATCCAGTGATTGGTCCATTGGACCTGCTAATAGCTAATTATGCATACTTTTAATAACTAAGTCACTGACTCCATTGCAATTAATTTTTCTTTTTATATCCCTAATATGTTATCACCAGTTCTAATCCTGTCTTTCTTTTCCTTTTTAGAGAACTGGTCAAGAGTCAGTGTCATCAGAAGAAGCATTTGTTCCACTCCTGGTTCCAGTTTCTGATCCTGTCTTGTCTTGTGCTCTTAATCTTGTGTTACACTCTATCCAACAGCTCTCAGCCATGGTTTGAGAGCTTTCCACTCCATAAACACTACCAGCGGATATTCAATCGGACCAATCAGGTTTATCGACCTCCTGCTTATCGTGTCCATCCAAAACACAGAGTTAAACCAAATGAAATTCCTGAAACCACAGGAATCCCAACTGTACCACCTACAGGTATTCAGTACCACCAAGCCTATGCACGCAACTACCACTTTATTATGGATAACAAAGAGGTGTGCAAGACCAAGATTCCTTTCCTGGTACTGATGGTTCCAGTGGCACCACATAACGTGCAAGCTCGGGACGCCATCCGGGAGACATGGGGCAAAAACAGTGTGGTTCAGGGTGAGGTGGTGCTTACTCTGTTCTTGCTGGGCTCTTCCGAGGGAGCTAATGTTGAGCAGCAGCAGGAGAAGCTTATACAGGAGAATCTGCAGCACCATGATCTGATCCAGAGTGACTTCATGGACACTTACCTCAATCTGACCATCAAAACCATGGTGATTATGGACTGGCTGGCCACACACTGTCCTGCAGCAGCATACGCCATGAAGATTGACTCAGACATGTTCCTAAACATTGACAATTTAGTGATCATGCTACAAAAGCCAGGCATCCCCAAGCTGAACTACCTGACAGGGATGCTGATGTGGAACAGGCCGGTCGTGCGTTCAAAGAGCTCCAAGTGGTATGTTCCTGAGGAGATGTACCCAGAAGCCACATACCCAACCTACACTCTGGGCATGGGATATATCTTCTCCAACGATCTTCCAGAGAAATTTGTGGAGATCTCAAAATCAATCAAACCCTTTAACATAGAGGATGCTTACATTGGAATGTGTATGAAAAAACTAGGATATGCACCTACATCACCGCCAAATCCCTCCCAGTTCAGGGCCTATAACACAAGATACGATCGCTGTGAATACTCTAAAATCATCACTTACATTCTTGGATCCTCACAAGAGTTGGTGACATACTGGACAGACTTAAAGAAGCCTGGACCACCTTGTTAAGATGATTACAACTACAGATGGACTAAGAAATCACTTGGGTGGCAGGGAATTGGGAGGGTAACTTATTTTTATATATTTATATTTGCTGTTCTGGTATATAAATATCATACAAAAAAAAAAAAAAAAAAATCAGAATCGGATTACCCTTTTGGAAAGGTTTCAAAGATTTCTGAACAACTGTGGTCTAGTATTGGTGAACTTTATTTTTTTTATTTTTTTAACCTGTTTATATTTAAAACTCTTTAGGGTTACCAATAGAAAATATGAAGGGAATGCTTATTTGTCCTTTTGTGAAGTAAAGTGGAAATGTGAATGACTGAAATTGAAGGTACCCTGAGGAGCTTTTGACCACTAATGTCGCTGTACAGCAAGGGTTTGGTGAGCAGTAATTCTATTGTTTTATATCTTGGTTGTACCTATGTTTACAAAGGCAGACATGAATGCCTCAACCACTGGAGTGCCTACACTTTTTGCTAACTGCATGTTGCTGCAAGGGGAAAGGAAGACTACTTGAAGAAAAGGAAACAAGCCATTGACCCCTGGCAGAGAGGAGTGAAAGTTGTTGTTTTACTGTTTATTTAGCAAATTAATGAACATTTTTCAAATTAAACTATTAAAGAAGCCAAACTATAAAATGCATCTGAAATTAATTTGTACATGTCACAAAAATATTTAATATTCATAAATACTACATTTTCTTTAATTTCAATGAGGTGAGTGACCTTACATTTGCACTAATATCCTGGTTGTAAACGCATATTACTTTGAGGTGTGTGTGTGTGTATATAGATGGTCATTATGGTATGACCATCTACGTCCCTTACCATTCGTGCAGTGCTGAAACTGGACTGGTTGCATAACAGATGATCAAATACTTTGGATCCCTTGTGATGACGTTTGTCAGGGATTTAGTGCACTGTAGATTCACAGTAAGTGGGAAGGTGTTTGAAGAATGTTGAGAATGGCACATACTTGTTTGACTTTTAAGGCCAAACGTCCTATTTATACTTCTGAAAGTACTTTGGGTTCATTTAAACTGTTGAAGAACATTCAGAGACATGGTATGCTGATCTAGTGAGTTTATTTAATGGTGGTGATGACTTGTCTCTAAGTAACGACAATAAGAGCACTGGCAGCCATCATATCTGAATTGACTGTCACAAATAGCTTGTGACGCGCCACTTAAAGGCTCATGCAGAACATAGTGTCAGGAACATGTGAGAATAAATGTTTTGCCCTCCTGATTGAATGCACGTTGACAGAGACAAACAGCACAGGACAGTAGAAAGAGACAGGAGAGAGAGACAGAGGAGATGACATGCAGCAAAAGGGTTCAGGCCGGACTAAAACCCAGGTTGCTGTGCTCAGAACTTGACACGTGAGCTACCAGGTCATTTAGTTCATCAGTTAACATATGTATATATCTTTTTTTTTTCCTTTTCTTTACTGTACTGTACACTGCATTTATGAAATGATATAATTTTAAACATTACAAGGTGTGATTGTGTCATTGTCTTTTTAAAACTGTACATTTCCTTCTATAGTAAAAGTAAAAATACTGGAAGTAGTTGGTTAACTGTTATTGAAAAGGGAAACAAGCTAAAATACTGCTTCTATATTACATTGTAAACTGTGTGAATCAAACCTAATGGGAATTTGCAATGAGTTGTTTGGACATATGGCTATAAATACAATCTATATTGATTGTTTTTGTTTGTTTTTTCTTTTTTGTCATGTATGATGTAGGAAATTGTTCTTCTGGTCAATCGTCACTTTACTGAATAAAAGAATAACTTGATGAACCTCAGTTGTATACAGAATCCTGTATTATCATGCCGCCAGGGAAGAGGCAAAACAATGTGTCTAACCACCGACAATGTTGTTTATCACTCCGTTTTATCAGGGGAGTCTGGAACATCCACAAGGTCTATATTTTATCTTAACCTCTGGGCACCCAACGCCTCTTAACAAACTGTATGCCGTTGTTATTTTCTCATGATTCATCTATTCATCAGGGTGTACTGTTTCACTTCCTGTTTGTGGACAGGATATCAAGTTTCATTCAAGGTCTAAAGTGTCTTATATGGTCTCTCTTAATTTGCACTGGTGCCTTTGGAAGATAATGTTGCCATTGTGCCATGTTTGAATTACACAACAGTTTGCAAACAGTTGGGTGTCGTGTGGATGAGAAAGCCAGCTTTAGTTTTAGTAATGAGGGTTTTGTGGCACGATGCTGCAATTCAAGTTTCTTTTATTATATTTAGTTTGTTAAGAATCCTTGGTCTAATCTGGAAATGTGTTTGGGATTAGAATTAGTATTAAACTGTTTTAACATTTATTGACCTAACCCTAACCTGATCCTATCCACATTGTATTGTTGACCAGTCAAAACATTAATTTAAGATACTTTAAGTAAGTTAAATTAGTTAGTTGGCACGGAGACACACACTAATTATTTTTGTTCTTTATCTTATTCTCTACATATATCAAATACTTACTTACACACCTACAGGGGATTCTGGTGGGCTCTAGTTCAGGTGCACATGACAACAAATATTTCCGCTTTCCAGATAAATCTATTCAGAAATACGTCCCAACTACTTATCTTTTTTTTAAAATTAGCATTTCATGCAAAAGGGAAAGAAGAATCAAAGAAAAAACAAGAAAAACTAGAGACGAAGAAGAAATTGGGGTGTGAATGCTGGATTTTTAAAGACTGACTGCATTTCTTGCTTTAAAATTTTAATAATAATCGAAGGTTTGTTGGCAAGGCAGCAGTAAACTGATTTAGGGTTGAGGTTAGGGTTAGCCTTGAATTCTTATGATTGGGTGACAGCATTTACTCCAATTTCAGACTTATAAAACAAACGAATTATTTAACTATAGAGTAAAGGATAGGATTTGTAGCCCACATCAGCAGACAATAGCCTATTTTTTTCTTTGGTTTACATTTACAGCAGACTTACGCTCTTGGTATTCCATCTGCAGAAGTCTATTTAATGCACTTATTAGCTGTTTTAACTCAACACAACTAATTCAACTCTGATAACTATCTCTTGTGCAAATGAACACAATCAGGACTGTAACTCAATCAACATAATATAGTTAGTTGTTGTTCTTGCAACAGTTCCAGAAAAAATTGTTGATCTTGTTTTAATTAAACAATGACTAATCCTCACATCTTATTGTTGCCTCAGGTTTCACTGGGCTTTTCCCAGGAACTTCTAACAGGTTCAGGCACATCCATGAGGCTTAACTAGCTGATTGTAGGGAGTGCAACCAGGCGGAAGTGAGGAACTGGTGCCTGAGGTGGGCGGGGCTTAGTCCCAGGTAAAGGTGAGCTGTACAATAGTCTCCGGTTTCCTCCATGATACCTGCCTTGATATGGTCTGACAGGAAGTGTTTTTTTATTAAGTAGCGACGCACGGAACTAAAAAAGGTAAGTTACGGTAAAGAAGAAGCAATATACCACAATGCATGCCGGTTAGATTTGTGTCCAGCTCTTTGACACCGCCTCCTGCCGCCGCCTGGTCTCGTCCCCTCTTAAGGCGACCTCTGCCCATTGATTACAGGCACAGTATTTGTTTGAATTCACAGCATCAGTTACTCTGCAGACACTTAGAAAGTTTAAAATATTAAATTGAGCACTTCAGCTGGTAGTGCATTTTTATTCTAAATATCTTGCATGTAGTCTAGAGAAATGAGTTTCCTCTGCTGTATAGAATAATACCCTAATTAGATTAGCCTAATATACATTTTTAAACTGCATGTTCAGGTTTATTTTAATTTAAAGAGGGACAATGCACATTAATTAACATGGGCACTCGGGTCCAGATTGAGCTCTACAGGCTGCAGAGTGTGAAGGCACAGGAGGAGCTTATGACATGAGGCTGGTTCGAGATAAACTGCGCCTCGCCTGGAAAGTGGCAGAGATCAGGAGACAACAGGAAGGAGAGGAAGAGCAGGAGGTGACCAAAAGCTGCAGTTGAGTTAGTTTCCTGCAACCTTCAAAGAATACACAGGAAGTCACAGAAATATTTGCTTACTGTTGGACCTGTGGTTTGCAGACCACATTCGTGTATGTATAAAAAAAAACCTTTATTCTTCTTATTATCAATCGATCTGTTTAACAGATTAAAACTTCATTGCACAACACGACACAGCTACGATCTAAAGTTAAAATATAAAAAAAATCACGCAGAAAATCATGTAAACGTGGTGTTTGTTGTCGAAACTAGGAGCCAATCAGCTCTTTGACCGCCAGGCGTCTCCCATCATGCTCTGGGTCGTCGGCGACTGGTTCTGTAAACTGCGTCCGCCTCGATCTCGTGAGGTTATCGATGCCCACGTGTGCATGACGTCGGAGCAAGTCGGACACCAGTCTAACCAGCATGCATTGTGCGCAGGCTCATGTCGAACATATTATACAGGATGCATAACTGCCAGGGGCTTGGTGGAGTGCTGGGGAGGCTGAGTTTGCACTGTTGTCCCATGTATGTTTCTGTGTGGCTCTCATATGTCACACACAGTGTACGGTGCGCAGTAAGTAGCTGTACAGTTAGAAAATGAAAGTAAAAAAAAAGAAGAAGAAGCAGTTTCCAGATCACTTCCTTATAATGAGCAGCATGGCAGCTTCGCTTCAGACGAAAGAAATGTGTGTTTTGTTGACGTGGCAGAGGATTTTGGTCTAAGATAAGATAAGATAAGATATTCCTTTAATAGTCCCACAATGGGAAAATTCCAAAGGGAGCTTGTCATCCAGTATTGCTCTGATTTGCATTCACATTTGCAAGTGCAGGTTCTGACCTGGTGTCACACTGCAATGCTTTATGGGTACCAACTGAAATGTGAGTGTTGTACTGAAACGTAGTGTTTAAACTTCAAAACTCTTTTACAGTTGTTTTAACAAAAATGGCCTTAAAGAATAAACCAGATGTATTTCTCATAATAGCATATTGAATATTGAAAAGGATATTGTTAGTATTGGTATAAAACTAAATTATGGTGTTTGAAATAGTATCAAAACATTTAAAATGATACTGATTAGCTTTTGTCATTTCAATTTTAAAGCACAAAAATCACGTTTTTTTTTTAATCAAATATGATAGATTGTCTGATTGTGTGTTGCTGTTTTATCATTATTATATCTGCTGAGAATAGTGCTGCTATCATGTGATAATGTGTCTCTCTTCTCTGTGTAGTTTTAATGGGGAACGGGTGGAGACGCTTAAAGCACATCTTTATCTGCTTCCTGGGAGGAGCATTCCTCTTGCTTATATATCTCAACATTGACTGGAAGTCGGGGAACTTGGATGATCCCGGGCCGTATTATGTGGCCTATCCACGGAACTACAAATTCATCATGGATGACACGCCAACGTGTAAGAGCAAGACTCCTTTCTTGGTCCTGATGGTTCCGGTCGCACCCGGTGACGTGGCAGCTCGGGACGCCATCCGACAGACGTGGGGAAATGAGAAACTGGTTCTGGGTCAGCTGGTCGAGACTCTCTTCATTCTGGGCCTACCTGGGGGAGCCGATGCAGAGCAGCAGCAGGAGAAGCTCATACAGGAGAACCTGCTGCACCATGACCTGATCCAGAGTGACTTTCAGGACAGCTACCGCAATCTGACCATCAAGACTATGATGATGCTGGAGTGGCTGGTTGCGCACTGTGTGAAGGCTTCCTATGTCATAAAGATTGACTCAGATATGTTACTCCATGTCAAGAATTTGGTTAAACTGTTGCTGGATCCCAGCACTGCCAAACAAAACTACATGACAGGTTTGGTGTGGTGGCACAGCCCAGTTTTAAGAAACCCATTTAACAAATTTTACATGCCGAGAAATGTGATTGCTGAGCCAGAATACCCTCCCTACCCTCTGGGCATGTCCTACGTCATGTCCATGGACCTGTCTGCGAAGATCCTGGGAGTCTCTCCTCAGATTAAACCTCTCTACATCGAAGACGTCTACCTGGGTATGTGCCTAAAACGCCTGGGCATTTCCCCCACCGACCCTCCTGAAAGTACTATGTTTATTGTCGACCCGCAGCATCCTCTGAGCGGCTGCAGCCTGTCGAAAGTGATCGCTGTTACAACAACAAGCATCCCGCAGATGACGAGTTATTGGGAGAGGAGCAGACAGCCAGAGGCTAAGTGTTGAACTTTGTCAGGTTTACCAAGACTGACTTTAGAGTTTTTGATGGTGGGTTGATACTGTGGTAACCTGAATCTGACATATATTTTAAATAAATTGAAATCGAGCATATTTTGTTATGTGTTTGCAGACAACTTGGAAGCACCTGTGTTCTGGGTTGGACAGAAACATGTCTTTTGGTATAAAAAAAACCAAAACAGATTTAAGGATTTGAACCCAAATCGACTTCCTGAGCTGTATCAGCTCTCACACTAACAGACTGATTCTCTACATGTTTTACATACAAACATAATGTTGTCCTTCCTTTTTAAAGGTCAAGTGTGTAACATTTAAGTAGATATATTGTCAGAAATGGAATATAATATTCATAGGTGTTTTTTTTACCTTCAGAATGAGACATTTTTATCTACTGATGCCGCAGGTCGCCTTAAACTTATTTTTCTCATTTCCTAAGCACATGTCTTACTTTATGCAACCCTCTTGCACTTGTGTCAGCTAGAATTTGAAAGTGAATGTTCTGGCACCTTTTGTTTATAGCTTCTCCTTTACCTACTGTAGCTTGGATTGTAGGGGGGCAGGTGCCACAGAACCATGGCCTAAGACCCTTGCAGGGCAAGAAGGCTCTTGTGTGTTAATACTACCACAAAAAGCAGAAATGACTGTCTTATTATTAGCTTAAAGTAAGCTTAAGCTGACACCTGCATTACTGAATAATTTCATGGCCCTCATTGAACTGGTAAGACTGATTTCTAGTACTATACATACATACTTTACAGTACTTTGACTATTTTGTTTGCGTGTGTGGGTGATGATTGCTTTCTGTGACTGAATTGTCTTGGGATGTTGTATGTATATTTTTTTTTTCCTCACGTTCATGTTGTCGTAGATCTTCATCTCAATCTCTGTCTTGAGACTGATTAAATGAAGCTCAACTAAATGAATGTAAAAACATGTTGGTGTAGCCCATCGACATATAAAACACTTCCACCCACTGTACAAAAATTAAGCCAAAATATCCCAGATACAGCCACTGACATATTTAACCATTCGGATCTCTAAATCTTTAAAATAGCAGAAACCATCTTTGGAAAAAAATTTATTTGACGTGTACTTTTCAGATTGGCTAATGTCCCATCTGCTAACATGGAGGCAACAGGCTTTATGACCTGTGCTGCAGTCAGCCACCAGAGGGCAATCAAGATGTTTTGGCTTTACTTTTGCAGAACTGTCATGTTGTCCATCTTTAGTCCATGTTCTTCAAAATGCAAAAAATGTCCTCAAGGATTCAATCATGTTGTGTTTTGGTGACCTACTGCTACAAAATATACTTTCACACCATGTTACAAGTGAAATGTTACCACTCATGTCACTTAATGAGTTAAAGGTGTAATATGATTGGCATTTCTCAAGTGTGATGTGATGTGTTATGTATCGGCAATTTAATGCTATAATATAAAGATATAAGATTGTAAAGAAGTTAATTTTGTTTGTATATAAACACAGCACTGGAGTTTATTTTCAAGCCTCTACAGTTGTAGTTACTCCTCACACCAGAAGAGGGCAGGCTAACATCACATAAAATCTACTGGATCAAGTTCTCAGGATTTCCCAGGGAAAGTTGTGTCCATGTGTTGCAGTTGCCTTCAAAAATAACATATCCACCATTGTAAACATTTAGGATGTAGATCCTTTTTGAATAATGTGTAAACTCATACTGGAACTGATATAACCACACCTTACCTATTCTTCTTTTTGAATGAGAGTGTTTTAGTTTTTACTACATTTCAGCTGAGGATCATCCAAAATTGATCAGTGTTGATATAGAAAGAGCCTTTCTCGTGACTATTCCTTGATGAGAGCAACTACTGTAAAGATTTTTTTTCTGTGTCGCACTTTCAATTTCCCATGATAGTCTGATTTAGCCCAGCTCAGTAGAGGCAATACAGAAAAATAACAATTAACAAAATCATGCAGCTTGTGGTGACAAAGCCCGATAAAAAAGTGATTGAACACTGCATAATTTTTTTTTCAAACTTTGTTTATTGAGCTTTTTTCACAACAGAACAAAGACATACAGAAACAGAATTCCCACCCCAAAAAGTAAATAAAAAAATAATAATAAAAAAATAAATAAATGAGTAAATATAAGACAAAGAGAGAATCTTACAAAAAAAAAAAAACATTAGAAAAGTACAGTACATACAGAGTGAAATCAGAGTGAAGCCAGCGGTTGTCCTTATTAGATTGTTTCATGCAGCTCTGATTTCTCTTCCAAGTATCTCAAAAAACGTTGCCAAATCTCATAAAATTTGCCAGATGAACCTCTAAGTGTATGTTTTATTTTTTCCAATTTCATATAAAATAAAGTACTCCTGATTCATAGTGTGTGGGATGGAGGGATGGCATCTTTCCATTTCAGAAGGATTAGGCGGCGGGCAAGCAACGTACAGAAAGCCAGAAAGTCACACTGAAATTACTCAAACTGTAGACAACAGAAGGTACTCCAAAAAGGGCTATGACTGGACAGGGGGCTATAGACACCTCCAGGACCTCCGAGAGTGTTTTAAACATCGAAGTCCAGTAAGTCGTCAGCTTGGAGCAGCTCCAAAATGTGTGTAAATATGAGCATGGGGTCATTTTACAACGATTGCATGCTGGATCTATGTCTGGGAATCTCTCTGATAACTTCTCTTTGGTCCAGTGAGCCCGATGCAATATTTTTCACTGTAGTAGTCCGTGCCTTGCACAGATAAAGGACTCTTTTTAATATTGCGTCCCAAGTTTTATCATGTATGGAACACTGCTCCATTTTAAAGAGCGTAAACTCGGTGACTGGTTAGCTCAGTCGGTAGAGCTAGAGACCCACATACGGAGTTGCTGCAGCAGCCTGGGTTCGAATCCGACCTGCAGCCCATTGCTGCGTATCATCCCCTCTCTCTCTACCCACTTTTCCTGTCTCTCTACAGCTGTCCTATCCAATAAAGCCATGAAAAGGCCAAAAAAATATATATGAAGAAAAAAAAAAAAAAGAGTAAACTGCAGAGCACCAATGCTTGCAAAATTAACTTAACTTGCAAAATGTGTGCACGCTGTATGAAATGTCAAAAGGATCTTATTTTCAGAAAGCATTTCTGTTTTATTTGTTTGACACTTTGCTTATAAAGTTAATACAGGCAAATACTTGGCTGTGGAACTGATAAGCAGGTCGCATGAAATACTTAAAATGTGATGTGAGCAGAGGCCTTTCTTGCAGACTGACTAAAGAACAAACTGAACTATAGATTTAGTCACTATAAATCAATGTACGGTTACCAAAGGATGCTCACACACACTGGATCGTCGATCTCTCCCCACCTTTAAGTCTTCACCTAAAAAAGAAAAGGGGACAGTGAACCTTCTTTGACTTAATTACTGTCTCTTCCTCTCTGGCATGAACAGTCTTATCCTCTCCCATGTGTTCTCATTCATCTCCAGCTGTCTATGATCTGTTCTCCCTCTGTCAGATAAAGGAGGATCCCTACAGTCAAAGGCCCTGCTCTCCCTTTTCCTGGTGACTGCAAGCCTGCATAAATCACACAGATGCTGAAAACCTAAACCCTGGATCCACATATTATTTGTTTTGCTGCCATGTAACATCAAAGATCCTCCTCAGTCATTGGCATTACGGCATGAATCCACTGTGCAAGTATAATGTATAATTTTACACCTAGCAAATGAATGTCTTTCGTGATGTACACTGTGTATTCCATGCAGTTTGGAGTTTAGTACCTTATTTTAACATAATTGTGTTGTTAGCACATGATTGTTAACACCACAGTTTAAGAAAGTTATTGCAAGGTCAGCGCAGGATTATATGTTTGTTCCACTTTTTCTTTTTTCAGACATAATATATTTCCTCTACTTCCTGTCTGTGCCCACCAGACAGTTTGTTTATGTGCGTGTCTGCTGCCTCTGCGTTAGACCCATTTATTGTCTCGCTATTTCAGGTATAAACACAAAATCCTCACAGAGATTACACAGACACTGCTTGTACACACACCCACATCTACAGAGGAAATTGCTCATCTTCTTCTCTTCCTTTGATGCTATAAAACGGGATTGAGTTGATGGATTCCTGTGTTATTTATTGTATATAATATCTGTATGTGTGTGTGAAGCATGTCAGGGATAGGCCATTATTTATTTTCCTTATCATAAAACTTTTCTCACTGATTTGGTGCTGGCAGATGGAAAATCTGCAGTACAGGTCTGAGACATAAGTTGTTTCTTATGATCCAGTATTGTTAAGGTAGATGGACAGTAGCACAAAGAGGCAGGTATATGTTCTTATATATTTTGTTTCAATCGGCTTCATTAAGAGAGCTATTAACTACCCAAAAGTCTAATCTCATTGATCAGCCCCCCCTCCTCCAGCATTCTCCCTTTTTACCCGCAGACCTTGCAGGTGTTGCTGTAATGTTACCCCTCCCTCGTCTGCCCCCTGCAAACCGGCTGCCCTCTCTGTCACCACTGCAGGGTCATAAACTTCAGCTGGTCCTGTTTTGCCACAGGGTCACACACACACACACACA